ACAAATATGAATATAAATATAAATAAAATATAAATACAATAAAGGAAATAATGTAACATGTATACAAATAGTATAACCAAGAAGATATTCTTATATTTCGATTCTTCGTTTTTTCGATATGGAAATGTTACAAAATTTTAAGTACTTATTTCTAAAAATCTCTGACCTGTTTAAATTTCATTCACTAATCCCATCATGCAAAGTGGAAATTGATGAAATAATTCAATTATCTTTTATCAGTTCCATTGCTCAGGAGAAATTAAATCTAGTGATTACAATTTAATTTTCATTAATTACAACCTAGTTTTTATTTGCCAGCTCTGTTATTCAAAATATGATTTAATCAGATAATTAAATCTCCATCATCTTTGTTTTTTGATCATTTCACTTCATTCTCAGAATTAAATTTTCAATTCCTTTTATTCTTTCACATATTTAGATTACAGTCAATTTGTTGCATCCTTCTGGTCAACATTTATTGCTGTCGCATTATTAATTGCATATTATTATTTTGCAATAATTGGAATTCAAGCAATGGATGCAAATGTTGATGGCAAAATGCTTTTGCCACCGAATTCGCAAAGTATTGAAGGAATTCGAATAATGGATGAAACTGTAAGTTAAAATTAATTTTGCAATTCAGATATTTTAAATATGCAGGAACTTTCCTCATTTTCCCTTTTCTTTTATTCTTCTCAGCTATGTTTTCTTTCGCTTTAATTTTGTTTTATTTAATAAAGCAGTACAGTGATTTCGAATTTAGTAATTAAAGTTGGAAATATATTGCAGTACTTTATCATACACGCAATTATGCATACGTGCAATTAATCCATGAAATTCTTACAATTAATCCTTGAAATTCTTCCAAATTAATCACTGGAAATGTAAAAGTTGTTGAAAAAGGAAATGTTATATTGCAGGTTTGGCCAGATTATTTAAGTATTAATTATATTATGCGAAAACCACCAAATTTTTCTAATCCTCTTGAATATCGCAACTTTATGGTAATTAAATTATTTTAATTAAGAAAATGTTGAAAGTATTAAATTGCTTTTTAATAAATTTATTCAAGTTTGATTTCAAAGTTTCTAGTTCTTCATTCTGCTGCTTTTTGAATAATAAAATGAAGAAGTAAAGCTTAATATGTATTGGTTAAACTATTTATAATAAATTTCATTTATACTTCATTCGGGTTCTGGTGAAGTTTTTCAAAGAGTAATACTTAAATTGACCTAAGATTATGAAAATAGATTATGGCGAAAAATGAATTGAACTGAAATGATTTCAGTCTAATTACTCGTGATTAATTAATTCAAACTTAAAAAAGAAAAGGGAATGACAATTTCAGCTGATGGTTAAAGAAATGGAAGGATTGGAAAATTCATTGGGTTCAGCTGCAACAATGCATTGGATAAAAGATTATTTACGATATCTTGCTAACCCACATGCCACCAAACTTGATATTTTTTTTGGGATTCCAGGTGTGGAGGCTAACGGAACGGCCTATATGGAAAATGGTGCATTATTGATATCCTTGTTTTTTACTAAAAAATTGAAAGAACAAAGTATTTATACAATTACATCGAGCTATTTCATAAGGAAAATTATCATAGTAGTAGTTTTTTGTAGATTAATTATTAATTAACCAAGCAGTTAATTAATCTGTTGAAGGTAAGGATCAAAATTAAATACATTTTATGCAAGAAATGATGGATTTATTTGTTGGGATTTTTGTCAATTTTTTTTTTTTAGGTTTTGGATATGTCACAGTTTGAATTTTTCATCAATACTGAACCATACACAGCATGGAAATTAGGTACTCGTTACATGCAAGATTCACAAAATAGGTTAGAATTTTGGAATCTTTTTATGCACATAAAAAAACGGTAATTAAAAATTGAAACACATATTTAATCTGATTCAGTAATCAAAAAACTAGAAATAACTATTTTCAAATAATAGTTATTAAATAATTGTTACAGTGTCATTTATAGGATGCACCTGTAATAAGGAAGTCTTTTTTGTTTCAAATTGAATTTCTTAATTTTTTCATTTTTAAATTAATGCTTAACCACTACCTCTTTTTTCTTTCCCTAATATTAATAATTAATATTAGCATGTGATATGGAAGCAATAAATAATAATAAATCATAGCCATGATAAAGTGATAGTGATGGCAATATTGTTAAAGAATAATGATGTAATATGGAATAATAAAACTATAAACTACAATATAAATAATGAAAACTATAAATTAATTCTATTATGAACAAACTTTTTCTTTTTTAAAGGTTGCAGGCGTATGATAAGATTTGTTGATCATTTCTTTTTTTAAAGGACTGTGATAACATCAATGCTATTGATAATGGGTTATAATGGTATCTCATCGTTATCTGGTAAAGCAAAATTATTACATTCATGTCGTGAAACATGTACACGTTATGCGCAATATGATATGATACCATTTGATACAGATGCTGAATTGGTTGATGTTATATTAGCTGTACCATCAACTACTTTCAAGTAAAACTTCATTTCTTATTAATCAGAATTCACATATATATATATATATATATATATTGTATTAAATTTTGAATTTTAATCTTTAATTAACAGATATCATATATCTGAATTAATTATAATTTGATAATTTTAGATCAAAAATGGAAGGAAAAAAACACATCCAAAATAATTAAAAAATTTGAATAATTATTAATAATTCATTACCAATTAATTGTTTGTTAATATTAAATTTCAATAAAATTAAGTTTTGCAGTACATTATTATTTGCATTTGGTGCAGTAGGTGTGGTATGTTTTATTTTTTCCTTCAATATTGGAGCATCCATTCTTGCTATCTTATCAGTTGTATCAATTAGTACAGGTAAGTTATCTCTTGGGTAAAATTGTTTTTAAGCTCAAATGTACATGTATTTTGTAAGTTTTGAAAAAAAGTGCATGCAAACTTTCAAATTGACAAATTGACACCAAAACTGTAATATTCTATATAACGGATCACAATGTACAATAAGCAATTTATAATTTCTTTTCCTTCTTTATGCTCTTATTTAATTAAATTTAAAAGCAAATTAATTGTATAAAAATGAAGTCGAATCACTGAATTTGTAGATTTAATACTTAAAAAATAAAAGATTTCATTTTCTCATTTATCAAATCAATACTAAAATATTCGTGTAATTCTAAGGTGTTATTGGTTTCTTATATTACGCAGTGTACTATATGTAAAATAATTTGATGTTTTAAATTACAGAGAAAAACTTTCAAGTAATCATTATACAGGTAATCCTGGAAATGAGCAATTCTACGAGCATTTTGGACAGGTTGTTCTGAATAAGATATCAAGAATTATGCAAATATCGGAGGGAAGTATACTCTTTTGCACAGTGTCTCACCTGAATCATGTTCCTATACCCAGAGAGTATTCAGAAATGAGCATCTGACAACTGGTAGACCGGTAC